TAGTGATAATCGATCATCCTGCACCGCACGCCTTCCATACACCACCGCTCACATCACTGGTACTACACATTTCTGGTAACTTTACAGTGGCTGCTCGCTCCCACAGAAGGACGCAGCCACGAGCAGGACTGCGTTTCGGATAACCACAAGAATTATCTGCAAGGCAGAAGGCAGCTGGAGGGGCCGAGCCACGGCCTCAGAAGCAAAAGCACTGATAACAAGGCACTCCCAAAGAGCCTACACCTGACAGCCTTGGTTTGCCTGGCAAAGCCACACGGTGCTCGTACAACTCTCCAAAGACTCCTTCTGCTGGCTTTGGAACTGCCTTTGTAGCAAAGGGAAATGAAGAGTTGGGTCTTTTTCACACAGGCTGAATCACAGAATCGCTCAGGTTGGAAAAGACCTTAAAGATCATCGAGTCTAACCACGATCTAAGCATACCACCCTAACTAATAACCCTCTGCTAAATCATGCCCCTAAATCACGCCCTGAGTGGCTCTGCATGTCAGCAGCTGCATTTGCACACACTTAACTGTTTTATTTAACAAGTTCTATTCATAAAATAAAGCATGTGAGTATCTTAGGGCCATGAAAACGCTTGAGAAGCTTTTCATATACCAGTATTTCCTTCTACCTGTTACGTAAACCTTGTTACACAAGATGAAGTAGCCATCCCAGTCAATAAGGATGAAAACAACATTTGAACCACCTGAAGCATCTTAAAAGAAAGTAAAAACCTCCCCAGTAGGTAGCTGCATCCCTCTGAATTTTACATGTTAACCTGAAATTTCTGAGGACAAGGGGGTGGCGTGCATTATCCACTGCACAGCTACAGGGACACAAACTATGGTACTCACAACATTTGAAAGAGCCTGGGCTGGTCCCTGCAGCCAGGCTCCCAGCTGAAGAACAGACTGCTGCTTCAGGAAACTGAGCGCCTGAGTCACAATTACTGGATATCACAGACAGCCTTTGAATGTTGAAGTTCACTATTTGTTACACAGAACTGTGAGTTCCCTAACTTTGATCTGCCTCAGTTTCTCCAGGAGAACCTGGACAAATCACAAAGGTGATTTACTGTAATTAACAAAACAAAAAACCAACCCACAATGATAAAAACCTGAGAAGGGGACGAAAAGAGCGGCTTCTGCCCAGTCTGCAGGAGACCACAGCCTGGCAATGCCCTCGGCAGTGACAGCACATGGAGAGCAAGGGGAGAAAGGCAAGAAATGCAGGTAAAAACTCTGATCTGACATTAAACACTGAGATAAAAGAGCGTATGCAGAGCTGTTACAAAGAGAAGTCACAGCCATCACTGCTCTTAGGTGCAAGCGCGGGGTTGGAAGGACTCTTCCCTGTGTGCCTCTGAGTTGGTGCAGCCCTTTCCTCGAGTTGCAGGGGAATAAAAACTGAAGCAGTTTTTCAGTTACCCAACAGTTTATGGAGCTTCCAGCGAAATAAGTGAAAATGCAACCATTTTCATCCTGCTGTAGTTTGGGAAAGTACAAGAGACCATGGAACTGCTTACACAGGCTTCCATTACAAAAAGGCACTTCTTAGATAAAAGCTCGGTTTGGTGTAAGAATACCCCCTGCTTTTGGAGAAAACTGGTTATAAGCTCGGCAGAGAGGGCAGAAGCACAAACAGGCCACTTTGGAACTGGCCTGTCTCCCACTGGGGATGTGGCGATGCGTCAGCAGCAGGCAGGGAGAACGTTATTTGGTTTCAACCACAAACCTTTTCTGTAGCTGAAGGGAATGTCAAGAGTTAACCCGAGCCACTGGAACAAGGACTCAGACTCTATTCCACACACAGCACTACGATCATATGATGCCGAGCTCCCTTCCAGGCAGCAAAGTGCTCCAAGTGGTTCCAGCTAATAATATTTTTACATTGAAGCAAACGCACAAAGGACGGCGTAGGAACACTGTGTGATCATCAAGAGTCTACAGTTCACATGTGAAAACTGCTGTACTACACCCCAGTTTCATTCCAAAGTGACCCAGGAGAGGCAAGAAGAGAGCGGTCAGTTTGCATTCAAACTGCTTTCCCCAACTGAGGCCTCGTGGGGCTCCTGAACGTGGCTTTTGGTGACAGCGCTGGCTTGGCACACACAGAACGACAGAGCCAGAGCTCCTACCAGCCTCCGTGTGAAAGTTGTGTTTTCTCACCTTAATTTAGCCTCCATTCGCAATTAAAAAAGACCACGCCGATCCCGGGTGCTATTCTTCCTGAAGCATTTCCTCCAAACGGCTTTAAAGAATACCAGTTGTTAATGAGCTGCTTGTCCTTTCACCAGATACAATGCAGGCATGCTTAAACCTGTAGCTACACCACCGCGGGACTTAAAGCCAAACAGTTGCTTCTTATTTCTGTTAAAATCTAACAGGGATGCTGCCATTAAGCAGGCTTCCATCTGCTCTGTGATGCTGAGAGGTTGCTGACATGTTCTGGAACCTTTTCTCATTCAAACAGCTGGCTACACGCACACAAAAAGCTTGTACTATTTAAGAATAACACAACAGCAATACTGAGACACACCAACAGTGGCAATAAGGAGCGATTTTGGAGGTAACACGAGACTCGGGCTCTCTTGATCTGGGTTCTCTCCTTCTCTGCTTACACTGAACCAGCAAAATATCCAGGGATTTTACTCCATGTGAAAAGATGAGAACAGCAGAGTGCCAGCGCTGGGTGGCTGAAAGGTCCTTTGAAGTCTGTTCACACTCTTAGAATTAATGCCACTGGTTCTCTTGATCTCCCTCCTGCCCTCTGCAGTGCTTTACTGCTTGTGAAACAACACAGAAACAGACTTTCCACGCAGTCCAATTAAGAAACGTATTTTCACTCCGTTTGAGATTCGTGCTTAAACCAATTCTCCCTTTGCAGCTTTTTAAAGAGCTGTGTGACAAAGGCATCTCTTCATGCTTCCAAAGGCATTCCTTGGCTTCTCTCATGTCCAGAAGTGGTAGATTCCAAACACAATACAGAGAAAATGTGCAACCTCAAGCAGCGTAAGGAAAAAATAAATCACTTCAACTGAAGAAGCAAGAAGAATGGCTATACTAAGTCTCCATGCGCGAGTGCAACGCCCAGCCAAAGATGCTCTGTTCTACAATCCCCATTTACTGCTGGGTAACAGACTGGTAAACCTAAAAAATCAGGCTGGTCTGCTCAGTAAGGGAAAGCAGAATTTCTCCTGCTTCTTGCTCACTGACTGTTTGAATGGTGAACTAATCAGGAACTCCAAAGCAGTTCTTTAAACTCATAGTGGGAAGTGAAGGAGAGCTGGGATAGAGAGCAGCTACTGTTTCTTAAGCCCTTAAAAGAAGCCGTAACCAGAAGCAGAAACAAACAATGCTTTGGTACAGCATGCTCCTTTATCAAAGCTTGCCTTTGGCCTTCGTTTTTCAACAGTAAACTTTAAATAGATCTTTACCAACATACTTTGGCTCCGTTCTTTTTCTCCCTGCCCAGAGAGACCCTTTAAAGAGATCTTAATTCCCACTTCAATAAAAGTAATCAATCAATATTTGATAACAACTTTCCTAAACGAATCTGTTGAACGACTCCGCACGGTAGGAACGCCATAGATGGGAAGGCACGACGCAGTTCCAGCTCTCCATTAAACACACAGATATCATCAATAAATCCACTGCTTGAAAGACTGCGTGAGGTCCTCAGGAGACCAATTCAAAATAAAACAAAACCATAGTTCATTAATTTGCCCTTTCTGTGGCTCACAACGAAGCACCAACGTGCGCACGCTTAAGGAAATCAATCTACATCCCACACTGCATCATTAACAAAGCAATTAGTGTGCCTTCATGTCACAGACCAGTGCAGCACACCTGATTTCTCCGGTGTGAGCACTCACGAGGCCAAATGCTAAGAGGGACAAAACTAAAAGGAGCAAAGAGCACTCAGGTGAGAACTCACATTGCCCCAATATACACAGTTCTCCGTGCCTAACGTGGCCTAACAACTGGTTCTTAAGAACTGCCTCCCCAGCTGGGTGAAGTTGCATCAGGAAACTCAGATGCCTTCAACCACACAAGCTGATAAGCCCCAGCATCATTACACAATGTGATTACAGTCTTCTTCATAGTTATCTCAGAGGATCATAAATTTCCTGAAAGTCGGTGGGAAGGCTCAGCTGCAACAAGTTTCTGTTACATTTATTTCAGATCATTCACGCTTGAGATGCTGACACTCTTCACTGTGACAGTGCAACTACAAAGGCTTTGCTAAGCCTCCACCACCACGTTAAATAATAACTGCACAGTATGCTAATTGACTTTCCTCCAGCAAACTGTCTGCATTCCCTTCCGATTTCCTGTAGCTACAAATATGATAATCAGGAGAACAAAGCCTTCAGAACAGCCACTCAGGAGCCAGTCAATGAAGTGAGGTGCGCCTGACTCCCTAATAAGCAAGGAAGACCTGCAGCCTCGTTTGTGCATATTAAAAGGCACATTAAAAGAGAAAACAGCGAAAAAATCCACATCTGAGCAAAGTTCCTCTTTCCACCATCAGCTACAATCCGAGTCCTTGGCAGCACTGCCATTCTCAGAGCACCCAATTTACCTTTAATTCCCACTTCCTCCCCAGCCTCTCTGGACAGCAGCTCCTGGCACTCCCATCAGTCCCCTTTTATCCCCGTTTCTTTTTATAAACCCAAGGTCAGGTTTCCTCTCCCATCTCATGTGATGCTCTGGATTGAAGTTCTGCCAGCCTGGTTTGCTCCAAACCACTGCCAAAGCCTGGCGCTGCTCAGCGAGCCGCTCCACCATCCCTCAGCAAAGAGATAAAGGAGAAAAAAAAAGAAAAAAAGAAAAAAGAAAAAAGAAAAAAAAAGCAACACCCCCCCCCCCGGGGGGGGGGCGAGGGGGAAGGAGAGCCCCAACTTTCCCAGCGTTGAACGAACGCACCCGCGCAGCGCTGCGCACGGGACGGGCAACGCAGGGCAGCAGCCGCCCGCAGCCCGGCCCGGCCCTCACCTCCTCCTCGCTCTCGCTGCGGAAGCACAGACAGGCCGCCCGTTTCTTGTAGCCGTCCCCATCGTAGGTGCGCGTCTGGTTGGACTTGAGCTTCATCATCCTCCGTTCCCAAGGGGCGGCCCGAGGGACGGCGAGGCCTGGAGAGGCGGCGGGGGCGGGCGGGGAAGGAGCCGCCGGGGCTCCCGCGAGGGGCGGGCGGGGAAGGACGGGGGGGACGGAGGGGGACCCGCCTCCCCGCGAGTCTCTTTCTCTGTCGGTCTCTGTGTCCCGCAGGCCGGGAGCCGCCCGCTACGCGCTGCCGCCTTTCGCCCGCCTCATCCCTCCCTTCGCTTCCAGCCGCTCCGCCGCCGCTGCCGGCGCTCCGGCCACCGCCGCCGACGACGACCGCGACGCCATCTTGGGGCACGCTACGCAAACGGCGTAAAGCCGCCTGGCGGGGGAGGGGGCGGCCGCTCCTTGCGGCTGCACGGCGCTCCCGCCACGCAGACGGCGTAGTCCGGCTTCCAGAATCGCTACCCCCCTCCCCGCGGCAGACTCGGACGCCGCCACCACGCCTCCGCCCGACGCCGGCGCGGCGCAGAGCCTTCAAGAATACGGCGGGGGCTGCGTGCCGGGGCGCCCTGACAGCTACGCAAAAGGCGGGGAGGCAGAGCCGGCGCCCAGCGCACATGGCTCCGCTTTGACAGCGGCTCTACGCAAAGCGCGCAGACGCCGGGCGGGGAAGAACGCGCGACTTGCGCAAGTACGGCTTACGCCAGTGGCGGAGCGCGGTCGGGGGGCGCAGAACAAAGGGGCGGGCGGCGGGGCGGGCCGGGGCATGGGGCCCAATGAGGACGCCCTGGGCTCGGCCTCAACCCGAGGGGTTTGGGGTGGTAGAACGGCCCTCAGGGCCGCAGTCAGGCTGGGCTGGGCCCTGCTTTCCCCCTGCCCTGCTCATTTGGAGCTCCCGCGTAGAAATATGTATAAATATTACAAGAAAGCAGGCGGAGATTTCAGAGCCCCGTTGGATCTGGGCAGTGCATTGCACAGCTAGAGCTGCTTTAATGCACATCTGCATTAAATTATTATTGTAGGCTGTGCGTCCCAGCTAAATCCAGTTGTGTAGGACTCAGCAGTTTAGTCGCCATTAGGTTCAGCTCCATCGAGGTGCACAAACTTGACAGGAGGCAGATGGAATGCTTGATTAAAATGAACGTTTGAGGCAGCCTGTCTCTCCCTGCAGCTCTAAGTCCCTCAGATATCAGATCTTAAGAAAATTCACATGCCTACAGTTTGCTCCATCCCTACATGAGGATCGTAAGCAGCTCCTTTCACACTGGGTTCTGTGTTTCTGTATTCTTGATCCTAAGGCTTTTCTAGAAAGAAGTATCTATCAAGCAACAGAAAACCATTCCCAATTAGCACCATGCCATTATTAGTCTGTGGGTGACACCTGCTGGCAGGCTGCATGCTGCAGTGTAGCCCCGGCCTGCACTCCTCCCTCTCTCACTTCTGCTCAGCTCCAGACAGCAGATGTTGCCACAACCCTCCTTTCTTTCTTAATCCAGTTGATCAACCCCGTGAATTCAGAATTCCTAACACAGGAAATGCTGACCTGCCTGCATAGATTATGTGCAATTCACAACACGGGTGACTTGCTCCATTTTCTGTTTACAAATAAAAACTCACTCTACACAGCTTTACTGCATGATCAGAAATGAGCGTGTTCCCAGGCAGAGCAGAAAAGCTGCCCACAGCACTTCTGTGCTGCCAAGAGCTCCTCATTCCCCCCATAAATCACCTCTGCACACGAGCACAACCATGTGTCAGTAACCACCAACCTACAAAGCTCCTTCCCATAAACTGTTTTCTAACCACAACTTACTCCATGGCTTTGGCATGCACACAGATCCGAGTCACCTCCCTGTTATGTGAGCTCTAGAATGACAAACAAAACACTGATGCAGCCCAAGTGGCATTTTCACCTATTTTATTATACACAAAACATGAGCAGGAGGTTTACTGAGGAGGCTGACCACGTCCACGACCAAATCCACCTCTCTGCAACAGAAAAGGAAGAGCATTAGAAGTCACCATATTAAACAAGCAACAGCAAACAAACAGTGCAAAAACCACTGACAGAAGGGCCAGCTATCTGCCCTCAACACTGCATTACTTTAATAAACATCCCCTGCTCCAAGCATAGCTTAACTCTGATCTGAGGTTAGCTACCCTAAGCAGACCAGTGACACTATGCAAAAATGAACCCATCTCAACCAGCTCCGCCACATCTCAAACTCTTCTGTTGCTGTTGTATAAAATAATACACTTCCTCTAGAAAGCTAAGCTTGCTTCTCAGATGTGTCACTGACTTCTTGTCACAGCAGTAAGGCTTTCAGTTTCCTTAATAAGAGAGCAGCTGAGTCTAAGGGACAGCAGTTGCTGATAAGCACCATACCCAACACCCGCAGATACAGTATGTGCAGCGTCTCTACCTCAGAGCACAAACACAAGAAGCCAATTTAAATACAAATACTTACAAACTGGAATTCGGTGGCTGCTCCAGCACCAGCCTCAGCCTTCTTGTCAGCACCAGCTGATGAGAGAAATGACTGAGTTACAAACCAGAGAATCCACTGGCCAAGTGGAGAACGACAGAATACTAAGGGCTGGAAGGAGAATCAAGTTTCTGACAGTAGGTTGAACAGCAAAACATCCAGGTGGGTTTTGAAAATCTCTAGAGAAGGAGACTCCAGTCTCTCTGGGAGGATTGTTCTATGGCACTGACAGCCTCAAAGAAAAGCTTTTCTTCACGTTCAGATGGAATTTCCCACGTTCCAGCCTGTGCCCCTGGTCACCACTGCAGGGAGCCTGGCCCCAGCCTGGAATCCCCCCAGCACATCTTGCCAAAATTTAAAAGAAGAATGTTACTCACAGCAGCTAAAAAGGAACTCTGCTGTGTAAATGCCTACGCTGTGCCAACAGCCTCATTTCCCCATTTCCTTTTCAAAAGGAGGTAAATGCTGAAGACAGTTTTCCCAAAGAGCGAGAGCTCAGCCTGACGCGCAGCAGTGAGACTCACGTGGAACAGCGCTGCGCCTGTACGTGTCCCTGTCGGCTTCTCCCCGAGTCAGACGTGCAGGGCGTTCACCCTCCAGACCTGTAAGCCAGAACAGCCACATCAGAGGACACGCATGGCGTATTCGAGTGTGGCCCCACACCTGGTGGTGATCCCTGCAGCCAAGCACTACAGCCACCAGCAGCGCTGCACCTCAGCTCAGTGGATGTAAGCTGAACTGGGGAAGCAACAGAGCGAGGAAAACTTCACCTCAAGGGTACAAGTTGCCAGAGCTCGTGCTTGGGCTGAAGTCATAAACAGTGTTAAACTGAACCCACAGCATCCAACACAGCCACAGCAATTATTCCTAATAACCAGAAGTGCAGAGAATCTGTCACAACTGGCAAGGCTGCTCCTAGCTGTGTCACAAACTGCATGGCATCCTGATCCCAATCTAAAATACTATCAGCATTACAAATCCTCCACAACTGAATAGATTAATAAAGATAAGAGCAGATTATCTATGTAACATCAGATTAAAATCTGACAGAATACTTGCAGGAAAGAAACGGATGAGGTGGAACTGCCTGTTTCTGTGCAACTCATGGATTTTTCCACAGAATATCAAAGATTAAATGCTCTCCCATGTATCAGAGCAGGGTCTCCACGCTCAGGCAGTAGGACACAACTACAGCCAGCTGCTGCTTGGCACATCACGGTGTACTTGTGGTCTCAAGCATGCTACAAGAAATGAATTGTGTACCTCTGAAGTCTCTTCCTCTCTATGCACTTTTTTTCCCCATAAATAAAAACCAATCATTCCAACAGACACCTACTGCAAACAGAAATACTGCTCACTGATACACAATCCAATCAACTTCTCCTCTAAGTGCTTCTACATCCCTCACTTCCATCCTGGTCAACCCATTGTAACACATCCCAGTGCCAACGGGTGGGCAGTTGCTTTGCACACATTTTTTAATTCAGTCTCCCCATCTTTAATTTCTAGGGGTTTAATTACACACGTAACAAACTGTAGATACAAATACTGAAATCTGCTTTAGACTGAACGTTCCAGCTTGTTTACCAAGCATCACCTGTGAAGGTTGGGAGCACTGCATGAAAGCACCAGAAAAGACACTTTAGCCAGGAACTACAAAAGCTTTCATCAGATACGCAGTCATTCCAGCCCTCTGGATAAATACAGCTTCTAAAGGATAAACTGGATAACATCCAAAGCTGAGAGATCAAAGAAACCATCATGTTCTTAGTTTCACTGCGATTCTTTCTTTTGAAGCAGATGATGCCACAGTTTTGTCTGCCTAAAAATCAAGTTGTGGGAGTTGCAGGCAGAACTCCTCACCAGAACGTGCCCACAGCCTCTGTCCTGAGCACAGGGCCCAGAATCTGCTGACTGGGCCAGGGCTACCAGGTAGCTCTGAGAGCCACAGGAGAAAGCTCTGTCACACAGGACTCCCCTTTCAGTCCTTGTTTGAAGGCAGAGTAACATTCCAGAAGCAGCAACTGCACAGAAGTAAAGCAGAAAACCCCAACACCTCCCTACCTTGAGAGAGAATAACTATTTTTTGCCCCTAAGAGATCTGGCAATGCTGTCTGTCAGCCACAGGTGCAGCAGCTCCCTCATTTCTCTCAAGAGTTCCCAGAGAATTTTGCTCTCCCTGCAGTTCCTGGCAGTTTTACAGTTCACATCCTACACTGAGGTGTTTGTCTGCCCCTGGACAAGAAACCACAAGAAGCAAACAAAAGGTATTTCACAGAGCACTTCTGGCAATCTCAGATGACAACACCAGCAAGAATTTATGTTTGCACGACCATCACCTCCATTCTGCTTTGGGAAATGAAAAATCAGAACTACAAAACCAGCACACCACGTGTACTTGTGAATTTTATAAAGCAATGGCAGCATCAACAACACGCTGCAAAGCAAGTCAGGCTAACTGTGCGTGATCAAGGCAGAACAATGCATTCCCAGCTTCATCTCAGCTACCAGAGGAATCCCCACATGAATTGTCCAGCACTGAGGCTCAGCCTCTGCACCCCTGCTACATCCAAACACAGCCTGTGCCCTGCACTGGCAGTCCTGGCCTCCCAAGGAGCTTTTTTAAGGACACC